TTGAAATCAATAATTTTTGTTGTTCATTTTTATTAAATTTAAATATTTGTTGTTTTTTTGTTACATTTACATTTATGGTTGGTTGTTATTGGCTATCATTTCATTACTCTGGTTTATTGATTGTTTGTTATTATATTTTATTTTAAGATAAATTTTCTAAACTTTATTGTTCACCTTGAGATGTCAAGTTATTTAATCTCTAAAAATAAATAATTTACTTTTATTTTTTTTGTTTTTTTTTGCAAGTCTAGTAATATTTTTCATTTTTTACCATTCGATTTTGGAGTTAATGAGTTTTTTTTTTTTTTTGGTTTTGAGGGGGACAAGAGAACAAAGTGATAGGATTAACTAGAATTCGGTTTTCGGGTGATTTAAGTGCTTGAACTTGACCACTGTGTGCAAACAAACCGAAATCATTTACAAACTTGAAGTTGAATTTTGCCAAGCATGCAGATTTGAGACGATAATATATAGATGTCTTCCTGAAGGACATCTTTACATGGAGTCCTGGTGGTATTTTTGTACAGAGGACACTCTGATTTTTTTCTGTGAACTCAGGACTTCTATAGATAGATTTAGGACGTGTAATACAAAATGAAGCCTTTTGTCTTCTACAAAACCAAGACCTTCTGAACGTCTTCTTTTTTGGGATATATTCTGCGTATGAAATTTCTCTAAACGTAGAAAATATCTTAGGGGACGCTCAGGCGGAAAATCCCTTTAAACACAGAAAACCTCTAAAGGGCTTAACATAAAATACCTCTTAGTGTTGCTCTAAGAATGGAATACATTTTAGAGGTTCAGATTTCATATATCTCAGTAAGTCCTGCTAGAAGCCGCCTAAATAAAGAAACTCCCCTCAGAGATTCTCTAAATGTAGAAGCGACAATAAGCGACATTTTAAGTTCCTATAGAATATCCAGAAGGGGTTTCTCTACATGTAGGAACATCAAAAGTATGCTTAAGGAAAATGATCTCTTCCTGATCCCTTCAAAACATAAAAGTCATCTTTAAGGTGCTGCTAGAGGTCTTTGGTACTTAGAAGACCCATGCAAATCTTTAGAAACCGAAAAACTCTAAGAGACTTATTAGATGTCCTTTGGATGTAGAAGATCTCTTATAGGTATTCTATATACACAAGCTCTCTGAATGCAGAGGACTATTTAATCTTTTAGAAATATTCTGCGCATAAAATGTCTCTAAACATAGGAGACCTCTCAGAGTTCTTCTGAACATATAAGCCCTCTTTATATTAGGTGTCCTAAAAATATATTAACCAGACATTCAAAAGCAGAAAACCTTACCTCCTTAAAAGGTAATCTTTTAGATCTTTAGATTCTTCGGTGACCTCTGTCCTACATGTACCCTACCCAGGCCTCTTAATATATCTCTCAGTGGTCCTCTCTAAACAAAGAAGGCCTTTAAAGGTCCAGTTAGGGGAATTTGAAACATAGAAGACCTCATGAAAGGGTTCTAGAAACAGAAGACCCCTTAAAGGCCCTCCAGCCATAGAAGACATTTTAGAGCTCCTCTAGATATAAAGGACTTCATAATTTGTACGTGGAAACCCTCTTAGAGCTTTTCTTCACAAAAAGGACCTCATAAATCTCTATAAACGTAGTAAGACTCCTAATGGGCCCTCTAAGCATGGAAGAGATTACTTCCCATTAGAGAAGATATTTTAGAGCTTCAAGACCCTTTTATCAGATAAGACTTTAAGCTATTCTTTGAATACAAGAACTCCTGATCCTTTATATTGCTAATACCTCCTCCTCTATTCTGAAATAAACTCTAGTTTGTATAGGTTTAAAAGACCCCAAGATCTTCTATTTTTTGAAGACCGACGGGTTTTCGATATTATTCTATGTTAAGGTCTTCTTTGTATAGTATAACCCCAGATATATTTTATTTGTATTTTGGTCCTCTAGGTTTAGAAGAAATATCTAGGTTTTCTATGTCTAGAAAACATGAAATTGTCAAAGAAGTCCTTGGACATTCTATGTTTAGAAGATCCTTAGGTCTTTAAGAGGTTTTTAAGCATAGAAGGCCGTCAGAAGGCCTTCTACATATAGGAGACTTTTAGAAGGTCCTCTGCTTATATGAGACTTTAAGTTGGTTTTCTATGTATTGAAGACCTTCGGAAGGTCATCTATATGAAAGGAGACCATTAAAAGGTTTTATACTTATAAGAGACCTTCAGCAGGTCTTCCATTTATAGTAGCCCTTCAGAAGATCTTTTGGCCCTAGGGGACCATCTATTTATGAGAATCAGAATCAGACGGTCTTCTCGTTTTAGGAGACATTCAGAAGGTCTCCTATATACCAGCAGGTCTTCTATTCATAGGACACATTCAGCAGGTCTTTTATGCCTTGGAAACCTTCAAAGGGTCTTACATCCATAGGAGACCTTCAGCAGGACTTCTATTCTTAGGTGGCCTTCTTAAGATCTTCTAGCTATAGGAGACTCTAAAAGGATCTTCTATTTATAGGCGATCTTCAGAGGACATTATATCCATGGAAGACCTCCAGCAGGTCTTCTACCTATAGGAAATCTTCATATTTATAAAAGGCCTTTTATAGGTCTCCCATCCATAGGAGGCTTCTTTTTATAGGAGGCCTTCAGAAAATCTGATATTTATAGGACCCCTTCAGATGGTTTCATATTTATAGGAAGCTGTTCTCTTTATGGCATACCTTCCGAAGTTCTTATATTTCTAGGAGACCTTTAGAAGGTGTATGACTTCTCTGGGCATTCTCCCTCCTCCGGTTTTCTAGGTTTCTCATAAAAAAACACTTCTACATTTTCTGTGTATAAAAAAACAGACTTTTGTTTTGTTTGTGTCTGAGGATATGGTGGTCTTCGAATTTTCTATATTCCACTAAATTTTGTATGTTATATTGACGAACTGAATGTTTACTACAAGTAATGACTTCGGGTTCTCTGTACCTATGAGGCCTGGTAGTAAACTATAGACAAAAATCTTTCTGTGGATCTCTTATATACAGTAAACTACCTGGAAATTCCCCTGCATAAAACATTTAGAGGTGTTTCGAAAACATGAAGTCTCCTATGTATTGAAGACTTGGTGGTTGTACATACATATAATTAATTGGTTAATTCTCTTATACACGAGGGTCTACCCTGCACACTTGGCAATTTTTTTACAATATGAAGAACTCGTGCTAAAAATATATTTTTTTATTTTTTTCTAATTTCAGTCAATCATTAACTTGTGGGAAAAATGCTTCTGTGACTAATTCGAAAAGAAAGGGTGTTTGATTTGCAATGAGGAAGTTTTTTTTACACAGAGAGATCAACGTTAACGGAAGACAAGTCGATGCTAAATTGGAGTAAGAATTTGTAGTCGTTTTTGTTGGTGGAAAAATTATTATGAATGCTTGAAATAAAAACTTGGAGGGAAAAAATTTCTAAATTGTGATTGACATTGCAAAAAAGACAATTGGCTGATGAGAGGATGGGATGGCTGGTTGTTTGGAATGATGTGGATTAAAATATTTTCTAAGTTTTCTAATTTTTGTGTGTTTAGTCGAGACGAATGAAAACCAAATCAAACTTAGCCTCGCAACATCCATTTTTGTATGATTATTGAGTGGTAATTTTTTACAAAATCTGTATTGAATTTGTTACTGAAAAATGTTGCAGTAACGTTGTTCATTTTTTTTTTGCCATAGAAGTGAGAGGGGGAGAGAGGGTACAGCTATTCTTGTTATTTGAGAGGGGACAAATGACTAAATGTTGGTGTTTTTGTTTTGACCTCAAACCAGTGGTTTAATGTGTGAGTGATGGGTTTCCTCATCTCTGAGAGAGGCAAAGAGAGAAAGAGAGGCAAATTAAACGCAATTTCAAATAAATAAGTCTCTATTAACAAAAAATCAACGGCAAATGGAGAAATTGTGAAACGAAACATTAAAAAAAAAAACTCAAAATGAGAATGAAATGGTTGGCATTCGATTAAGGCCAAGTATAATTTTGAAAAATTGAGGTTAAGTAGAGAAAATAAAGAAGAAATTTATTGCTATGTTTCAAGTTTTCTTTTTCTTTTCGAGCTACCAACTAAAAACTCAAACAGATGGCAAACTAATTTCCAACGGGGCTTGAATTGGGGGGAGGGGCAGGGGGAAGTCTAAAAGGTGTTGATTGTTGGCAAATAAGTGGTAGATGGTGATGATAGTAGTAGTGGTGGTGGGGGTGGTGTTCAAACTAAACTAAATAACTGGAGTGCTGGAGGAGTTTTCGCATAGTCTCGTTTTTTTCTACTTCTGCTTCTTCATCTTCGTTTTCAACGTTACGTTTAAAACAATTCTATTTTTCTTGCATTTACTCAACCGTTATGCCATAGTTTTGTTTTTCGTTTTCATTTTTTTTTTTTTGCAAACGAAACCTTGTAATACTTTCATTTTGGTTTTGAGAAATAAATTTCACAACTGGAGGATATAAATTCTCCATGTTATTTATAAGAGGAATTCCGCAGTTCGTTAAAGGAAAATGAACAAAGTTGAGAACGTACACTAATTATTTTGGAAGAAACGGATACAGAACACAAACAAAGTGGACAAAAAAAAAAAAAAACAGACCGGACAAAAAAAAAATCCAAATCAGAGAGAAAAAACAAAGAAAAGCCAAACAATATGAGTATTAAAAAAATTTGCATAATTTCTTTTTTTTTTTGGTATTCGAACAAACAAAAGTGTTGATAGAAAATATTGTTTTTTTTTCGTATTTGTAAAATTCCATTGAATAAACTCTTAGGGGTTTCTTTTTTTTTGGTTTTTTTTTCTTTTCGAAAACACTTAAAACACAAACTATATTTTTTTCTTTTTTGGTTTTTCATGTATATATTGCTTAACTAAATTAGAAGACATATCTAATGAAACAAACTTAAAAAAAATTAAAACAAATTCAAAATTGAATAAAAATTTAAAGAAGTAAATCGAAAAAAATACAATTATCAGAGGTACATAGCTAAAGTTTTATGTACCATTTTCACTTCAGATAGCGAGCTGATCGATAGCACATACATGGTGACACCAACTTCGACCGGGGGTCCTGAAATGTCATTTAGCATCAGTTGCAAAAAAAATATATCCAAATAAATTTTTGTCAAAAATATTTTGTTGTTGGTTTTTTTGTTATTATTTTGGTTTTTTTTTAAGGTCAGAGGTATGTTTGAGGTGGGGGGATGATTTCAAACAAAATTGATCCATAGTCGTTAGTTCGATTACTTTATTCTCGTTTTTTGTTTTAATTATTTGTCAATGGGAATTTTAGAATATTTTTTAAATTTATAAGTTATTTAAATGTAAATTAAATTTGCCAAGTTTTTCTGGCCATGGTAATAAAGGGTGTGAATCGGGTGAATCGGGTATCAGAAACAAATCTAAGGAATATAGAGCCACTTGGGAAGACCTATTTCCTTTTATGATCTTCTAAAAATATTCCATTTGATTCGGAAATGTGCCTATTTTTTTTTTTTTATTTAAGCCTCATGGGACCATGGACATTGGAAGTTGAGTGTCTTGATCAGCGGTGCTCAAGAAAAAATTCCTCTTTTCAGTCAAATTTCTCTTTGCTTATTTAAATCAATAAATTAATTTGGCAAACATTCGTGTCTAAAAAAAAAAAAAATTAATAGAACCGTAAAATATAAAGAAAAACAGAATTTTAGTTTTCTCTTAAATTACCTCTCTTTTTTCGGTTCATGTTCTAGAACACGGTTTTGAGCACCGCTGGTCTTGATAAACTGACTAGTAAAGTCCCCTGAGAAAAATGGTACCATCTTCATGAGAGATAACGTATTTACAAACATATGCGACACAGTCAGAGGAGTGTTCCCCTCATTCAAGGGCCTTCTCCCTGATTTCTGTGAGAGCCTACTCATTTTTGATGAATAATTGAGTTCGATTGTCATACAAACTCTGCCGAACCATTCCTAAGAGCGGCAGTAAGCTGTAAAAGGTCTAGGAGTTAAGTGGGTAAAATTCATCAGTCAGTCCTTTCTCCAATGGTAAAACGAGTTTGGAGAGAGAGAGAGAGAGAGAGAGAAAGAGTTTAGTTAATTTCTTTAAGAGCATCGACAACGAGGTCTCAAATTCGTGGAGAGTACAATTCTACCACGAAGGAAAGGTATATAACCGGTTACTGTTAATGTGAGGAGAAGAAGGATCATTCGATGCTAATGGAAATATCTCCTGATTTCGAAGCTTCATAACTCCATGCTGTCGCTCTCAGAAAGATACCTAAATATTAGAAAACGGAGTCAGATGGAGAAAATTGCAAAGATCTCTTGGAGACATGAAACGGAAAAAACTGAAATGGAGAGAAGCCAGTGATTTCAAACCACGTCCCACAGTGAAGAGAGGAAGATCGGCAGATGAACCTCACATGGAGTAGTAACGAAAGCTGCAGACCTTTTCTTCAAATTTTGCCCTATGTGGTGGAGGTACTTGATCGAGTGGACCGATATTGTCCATTTTCGCACCTGACCTAAATTGAGCAGTAAAATTTATTTTGAAAATGGGGAAGATACCAGAAAGAGTTAACCGTTATTGCCCAACTCCACACTCGATCTTTCAATCGTTTGATAATAATATCACGATATATCAAGTATGGACCAAATCGGATACTCCCTTCGAGAGATATCGTGCCCATCAGCTGTCAGCCACCAGTCATCAAGTCAGACAGACTGACGGATGGACGAACATAGCTCGATCGACTCCAAATGTCCTGAAACGGATTTTGTCTAAAGAGACCTAGGGTGTAGAACAGTTATTGTGATAAGGCACGTTTTGGCCGTATCAATTGATATATACCATCTCTAGCCATATGGCTGAGGGTATACTAAGAAGGATCCCATTTATTTTCTGAGTTACGAATAGGATTAAGAAACGTGCTTTTGGAAATTTCGGCCAGGGTCCGTAATCGTCTATACATGATATGCATATACAGGATGAGATGAATAAACTGCAACCAACTTCATACTGCTGTAATTTCCAAGCCACTTGTCCGACAGCAGTTAAAATTATTCCAGTGACAGTTCATTATTTAGTTTACAAGCGTACAAAAGCATTTTCGTGAGAACTGTCCAGGCGAAAAGTTATTTGTGATGAAATTCAAGCGCGATAGTGTGATTTCTTAATATTTGCTGGAAAACTACAAGTGGCTAGTGGTTAGAACACTCCAGCGCTTGAAAGTGGTGAACTGCCGAATTTGGGTTTCTCCGTCTCCGATGGGAAAACATTCGTTGTCCAGCAGTTTGTAAACCAACAAAGTGACCAAAGAGGTCAGCTGAAAATGTACACCTTCGGTTGGCCACCAGAACTCAAGCGCCGGCCAAGGTGATGGTGTGGGCCGCCATAACAGCGGATGGTAGCTCTCCGCTCGTATTAATCGACCGTGGCATCAACATAAATGCCGAATGTTAACGCGAAAATATTCTGGTGGGTGTATTAAAGCCTGGGGCACGCAAACATTTTGCCCGCAGGCCTTGGACATTCTAACTGGACTCAGCACGCGCCACCCAAGAATGGTTACAAAATAAGGTTCCTCGCTTTATTTCCAGCACACAATGGCCACCAAAATCTGCGGATACCAATCCGTTGGACTATTGTGTCTGAAGCATTTCGGAAAGCAAGTTTGGCACTAAAAAAATCCAAACTGTCGATCACCTCAAGCAAGCGCTTCGCTTGTAAGAATCAAAATACCGCAGCGCAACATTGGGGCAGCGTGTGACGGTTTTATTGGCCGTTTGAAGGCCGTAATTCATGCCAAAGTTGATCAATTCGAACAGATCTAAACCTATTCCAAAATTTGATGCTATTTCCGACATTTTTTGCTTTCATTCAAAAAAAAAAAAAAAAAAAAAAAAAAATAAAAAAGAAATGTAAAAATTATGGCATTTGAATTTGTTGCAGTTTTTTTTTATCTCACCCTGTAGACTTACGATCAGAGTAAAAAATCCATGTCGATTTAGCCATGTTCGTTTGTCCGACTGCAATCGTGATAGAGTTTGAATTTTTAAATATGAAGTTTTGAAAATGGAATATATCAGTCCGCTATAGGATCTCCTTATTGGAAACAACTTTAGATTTCTGGTATTTTGTAGATTTCGGGTTCGGCTCAATTTCCAACCAAAACAGCTTTAAATTACATATCGGACATAGTCCCCAATTAAAGTACTTCCTGATTTTTATTTTTTGTTTTGAGTGGAATTCCCAGCGAAATCAGCACAGGTAGCGCCTCATTTTACGAAACTCCCAAATATGAGGAATTTGGCCATAATTTAAGTTTTTGCATGGGGAAGGGTATAGCGAACATAAATCGCTTTTTAATTATTTTATCTGTTTGTGATATGTTTCATAATTTCTAGTTCGAAGAACTTAATTTCGGCAGGGTGTTTCCCCGATTTTGAAATTAAATTGTTGTTACATTGCGAAAACCTTCGACAATAGACTATGGCCTACCTTTAGAATCGGAACTCTCTTTATTCTAAAATCAACAGAAGGGTCCATACAAAGTCAAACATTAACAGAATGTTTGTTTTATTTTGAATTGAGTTCTTATTATGACCATATTTATTGGAGTTAATTTTATACAGGGCGAATGCGATTTGTGGATGGAAACTTGAATTCCTATGGAGATTGCATTGGAAATTGAAATCCAGGAAAGTCCCACCCGTTAAGCGGATCATATGGTGTATTAGAGTCAATTTTAATGGCCAATTTTTGGAGAGTTCTATTTCGGTGTACTTCAGGTCTGTATAAAGTCTGACTGTAGGAGTTTACTTCAATACTCAACTTGGTGGCCTTTTTCAACTTCTATTCTATCAGATGGGCTCATGTTGAACATTTTTATTTGAATTTTTTGCCTTACTGGTGGGTGGATATTTGTCAATTTCTTTCTCGAGCTGAGTTAATAAACCAAGGAGATGCACTTGAATCAGAAATCTGAATTTAGCTCATTTTTTTATTTTATTATCAATTTTTTATTTTATTTTCATTTTTATTATTATTATAATTATTTTTATTATTATTATAACAATTATTGTTATTTTAATACTTTGAATTTTCTGTTTTCAAGACTTTTCAAGTGAATTGAAATTAAAAAAATAATATATATATATATATATATATATACATATATATATATATATATATATATATATATATATATATATATATATATATATATATATATATATATATATATATATATATATATATATATATATATATATATATCCTGCAATTACCATTGACATGTGTATTTATATTACGCATTTTACGAGAATAAAAGGAAATCCACTGAAGGAAGGATCAATTCATTTTGAAACACCCCAACTACAGATACAAATGAGATATTTATACTAAAATTAAAAACGAAAAATATGGAAAGTTAACAATCAAAGCAATACAACCCAGCAGTGAAATGAAAACAAAATTAAGTCGAAAAAAAATGAAACTAGAAGATTTAAAAAAAAAGGAAAAAATCGATGAACACCCTTTCAAAATGCTTTAAACAAACAATGAATATTTAAAGTGGTTGAGGGCGGAGGGGGGCTAAATGTGTTTTTTGTTTGCCTAGAACCTGATTGGTAAATCTAAGAATTGAGTTGATTTTGTAACTTTTTTGGTTAAATGAGGGGGGGATTTGTTTTTTTGGTTAACACATGATTTATTACAATGAGACGGTGTTAGTTTTCGGTTTAGATTTCCCAATGTATTTGTTATTGTTTTGAAATTTATGAAAAAAATGTTTTTTTTGGGGTTTTTTTAAAGGGGGGGTTGATAGTCGTTTGTTTTGGTATTAGTTTTGTTTTCAGATTTTTTTCAAATTGCTAATCTTTTTTTGCATTGTTTAAACAAACAATCATATATTGTTTTTGTTTTTTGTTTTTACATGAACGAAAATCAAATGAAAAAAAACAATTGGATACATTTTACTTACCACCATAGTTGGGTCTTACTCTTTTGTCATAACTGACACTGAAGGAATCCAAAATAGCCGATATATTAACATCTCCCAACATACTACCGCCAGCGGTTCTAAAATAATATGAGAGAAGAATATATTTGCTAATAATGGCCGGAAATGCGTTTGGTTTTGTTTTTTTTTTTTTCTTTAGTTTTCATTGGGCATCAAAGAGACATCAAGATACAACATCGAATGACCGGCCATTGTGGCGTATGAGCGTTATTTGTGGCTGTGTGTAACAATCATACGTCACAAGTTCCGGTCGTTGGGAAGGTGTGAGGGTTGTTAGTTGGGCGTTTTTTTTTTCTTTAGTTTTTGGTTAGTTATGTTTGTGTTGCTTCTTGGTACGCTGGGAACGCTGTAACATTTTATGTTTTTCGTTTTCTGTTTTCTATTTTCTGTTTTGTGTTCTTTCTACCAACTCAGCAACTCTGTGACAGCTGTCGGCTGTTTAGCTGTTGTTTGTTTATTTGTTTTTTTTTTATTTTTTTATTTTTTTGGTTTAGTTTAGATTAGTTTTCTATAGCTGCAAATAAAACTTTAGTTTTGTATGTCCAGAGAATATGACAATGTGGATTAATATTAAAACTAAGATGAGATGAAGAGATGACATAGAACAACTATGAATGATTGTTGGGTTTTTTGTTTTATTGTTTCTCATAAACAAAGTGTTTCACATTGTGGTATTATAGTACTTTTGGAAGAGAGAAGGGAGGGGGTTGTATATGGCTTAAATATTAAAATTAGGAACTAAGTGGGGTGAGAATTTTTTAATAGAAAAATATCTTGGAATTTTAGAGAACATTTTGTAATTTTGGAGAATATATTTTTTAAGCAACACTAAATCTACGAACGCTGGGTTTTAAAGGATATTTTATTTTCGGGAGCCCTGGCATTACAATTAAATTTTCGAAAGAGTATTCTATATATACAGGACCATTAGAATTAAATTTTTCAGAATATTTTTTCAAGGCGATAATCCTTTTGAGAATATTTTTTTTGAAGGACCATCACAGGTACAAACATGATTTGTTTCAATATAATTTTTTTTAAGGACGATTGGATGCATAAACACGGAAATTTATGAAGAATATATTTTGAAGGAGTATTAGAGCTACAAATGTGGATTTTTTAAAGAATATTTTTTCAAGGATTTCATGGATTTTTCAGTAATGTTTTTCAATGACCATTAGAGCTACAAACGTTGATATTTCGAATACCATTAGAGCCACAAATCTGGATTTTTAAGACCATTTTTCCAAGGACTTTTGGATCAAAGAACATAGTTTTATACCCTTCACCATAGTATGAAAGGTAAGTCATTCCGTTTGTAAGGTATATATATTCTTGATCAGCGTAAAATTCTAAGACATTCTAGTCCTGTCCGTCTGTCTGTTGTAATCCCGCTAGAGTCAAAATGAATAAATATAGGAAGCTAATATTTTGCACAGACCAGTCTTTTGTGTGCAGGCAGGTCAAGTTCGAAGATGGACTATATCGCTCCAGGATATGGTATAGCCCCATACAACGGTTTTAAGATCTTAGCCAAATTTTCAATGGAATTGTCCCAAAATTAATACAAAGAATTCCTTTTTAGTGCATAACCCCCTGGAAGATAATTGTTTATATAGGTCTACGATATCGTACAGCCCCATACAACGGTACACCACCCCCTTCCCGATGTTCGGTATTTTGATGGTTATAGCCAAATTTTTCAATGAAATTATCTGATAATTCACAAACAGAGATCATTCTGAGTACTTTTCCCCCTGGAGGATTATTGTCTATATGGGTCCACGATGTCGTATATCCCCTATATACCTCCCTAAATTCGGTATTTTGATGATTTTCGCTACATTTTTCAATGGAACTGTTTAAAAATCCCAACTAGAACTTCTTTCCAAGCACCTTACACCCTGGAGAAGAAACGTCTATATAGGTCCACGATATCGTATAGCCCACATATACGATATTTTGGTGATTTTAGGAACATTTAAAATTCGTGATGGGTACTACAGCCTATGACAAAAAATTTCAGGCCCACGCCTTCGTTTAGCCTCCCAATATTCGGTATGATAATATTTTTTGCGATATTATTCACCGTAGTTGTTTTAAATTTCGTATTTAGAGTTCGTAATGGGAACTGCAGTCTATGACTGAAAATTGTTGGTGGTCCAGGTCTTCGTATAGGACCCATATATCAGTACCACCCTAAATTCAGTATATTCATGATTCACCATATTTACCATATGTTTTTTTTTTTTTCAATTTTCGTATTTGAATATTGTAATGGCTTATGACAAAAGTTGCCTTTGAAGGCCCACTTCTTCGCATAACCCCAATATAACGGCTATATTCGGTATTTTTCAGATTTAAACAGAATTTTTAACGGATGTTATATCTTTGAAAATTTCCACATTCGTTCCAAATGGTGGAGGGTATTCAATCCATTGGGGATTTGAAGATTCTTTTTCTAAGGGCCAACTAGGCTACTAACTAGAATTTTTGTAGAGGACGATTAGAGCTACAAACTTGGATTTTTTGATAATTTTTTTTTTCACAATTGTGTTTTTATTTAAAGATGTTTTTTTTCTGGAAATTTAGAGAATAATTTTGCAAAGACTACTGGAGCTACAAAAGTATTTTTAGGATCCTTTAGAGTTATAAAAATGGATTTTCACGGAATTAGGTCTGGATGTGGATTTTAAAAGAAAAAAAATGTATATTGGATTTTTATGAAACCAATTTCAAGGATCTTTATTTTTAGAACCTGGAGGTTTTGAATTTTATTTGGAATATAAAATAAATTGAGGGTCCTTTAGTGCTCAAATGTGGATTTAAAATAAAATTCAAATTAATTTCAAGACCATACCTGTTAGATTCAGAATTTTTAAGAACATTTTTTTAATTTTTGTGGATTTTTTACGAGATAAATTCAAATTACCATTCCTAGTAAAAGTTGACATTTTTTTAGAAAAAAAAAAAAAAAAAAAAAAAATAAATAAATAAATAAATGAAACGTCAAGGACAGTTAGTGGGTATTTTCAAGGATTTAAAGATCAATAATCGTGGATTTTGTTATGAACATGTTCGAAAAACCAAGAGGCTAACAATCGTGGATTTTGTAAATAATAATTCTAAGGGCCCTCAAACTGATAGTCGCGGACTTTTCAAAGAAACATTTTCAAGGACCGCACACATTTTTCAAGGATCATCGTCGATTTTTAAACTATGTTGTTAAAGGACCTACAGATCTTTAATCCTTGATTTTGAACGAATATTTTTCAAAGACCTGAAGGCCTAAAATCTAGATATAATTTACATTTTGTTTTAAGGTCTAGTATTTCAAAAATTTTATTAAGGATTTTCGGAATAAACAAACCAAAATCTTTGATTTTGGAGACTAATTTTCAAAGACTTAGAGACCAACAAATAATTTTTTTGGCAATATTTTCAAGGATTTATAGGCCAAAATCGTGATTTGTTCTTAGAGTTTTATTTGGGACAGGAAATATTTTTTAAAGGACTGAAAGACCAACATACCCGATTTTTTCCAAGTACATACTGATCAATAATTGTGGGTTTTTGTAGAATATTTTGCAAGGATATACAGGCCAATAACTATGGTTATTTTAACTATATCTTCGAAGGACCTTGACACTTTTTCACCCTTTGTAGGGGAGATATCAGATGGAGTGGACCAATATTTCCTATCTTCTCAGCAGATCTTGTGTTACTAGAAATAATGGGATGTGTGAAATATGAAGAGAACCGGGTGCTTATTTCGGATTTTAAAAACGTTTTGATTATTCAAAAGTTTGATTCTTTGTGAGGGAGATATCACAAAAATTTCGACCTCTTGTGGGGTAAGTACCAGAAGGAGTGGACCGATATATTCCGTCTTAATACCAGATCTTGGGTTTATAAAATTTGGAGACAATCGGACTCTTACATTATATATTTTATAAGAGTTATAATTATTCATAATTTTGATCCTTTGTAAGAGCGGCGATGGAGTGGACCGATACATTTTTACATCTGACCTAGAACTGACACAAATATTAGGAATTGCAAAGTTATAGCAAAATTTGATTATTGCTTCCCTTTCTGAGCAGAAAAAAAACATTTTTTTTTGAAAATTTTGACCTTTTGTGGGGAGTTAACAGAAGGAGTGGACTGATATACTCCATCTTAACAACAGACCTTGGGCTAGTAAAAATATTGGGATGTGTGAAATTTGAAGACAATCGAACAATTCGAAATGTTGACCCTTTGTAGAGGAGGTACTTGATAGAGTCGCCCGATATTGTCCATTTTCGCACCTGACGTAGCACTGACGCAAATATTAGGATTTGCAAGGCTGGGGCAAAGTCGAATGATCCCTTTTCTTCCTATGAGGTGAATTAGTTTCTTTGAAAATTTGGCCTTTTGTGGGGAAGGTACTTGATGGAGTTTCCCGATGTTTTTCATTTTCGTACCTGACCTAGCACTGATGAAAATATTAGGATTTGCAAAGGTGGAGCAAAATCGGATCACCCTCTATCTTTCTGTGCAGTAAAATATTTTTTTTTGAAAATTTCGAACTTTTATGGGGGTTGTACCAGAAGGAATGGACCGATATTACCCATCTCCGAACTCGATCTAAGTTTGATAATAATATTACGATGTAACAAGTTTGGACCAAATTTGGTTGTCCCGTCGAGAGTTATCTATGAGTCAGACTCATAGACGGACGTACATCTCTAGATCGACTACAAATATCCTGAAACGGATTTGATCCAAAAAGGCCTAGGGTCTACAACATTATTTCGATGAGGCACGTTGTGGCCATATCAACTGATATATACATAGTATAAAGAGTAAAAATCGAAAAGATCGATCCAGACTCAAAAAAAAAAAAAAAAAAAAAAAAAAAAACTGCTCTACTCACAGACCCTAGAATCTGCACACAGAACTCTAAATCCTTGGCTTTGTATTTTCCAATGGTTCATTTTCTTTTCAACAATTGAATAATTTAGATTGCCATAGCATAGATTCCAGCTCCTTATGATAAATACAATCATATATATGC